TCTCTAAAGAAGAGGAATGGATGGCCACCAAACACATAGAAAGGTATTCAATATCGCTATTCATTAGGAAAAGTCAATCAAAACCATAGTGAGCTACAACCTTACACCCACTGAGATGGGCACCATCAAAACACCCCCAGAAAACTGAAGCCCTTGTGCGTTGTTGGCAGGAATGTAAAATGGTGCAGCCCCTGTAGAAAACAGTATGGTGGAAGCCGGGCTCGGTGGTTCAGCCTATAATCCTGCGCCTTAGGGAGGCTGAGATGAGTGGATTGCCTGAGCCCGCAGGTTCAAGACCCGCCTGGGCAGCGAGACCTCATCTCTACAATAAATCAAAAAATCAGCCGGGCGTGGTAGCACATGCCTGTAATTCCGGCTACTTGGAAGGCTGAGGCGGAAGGATCGCCGGAACCCAGCAGGTCGAGGCTGCGGTGGCCGGAAGCGGCCACTGCACTCCAGTCTGGGTGACAGAGTGAGACTCCAACTCAAAAAAAAGAAAACAGTATGGTGGCTCCTCAAGAAGTTAAAAATAGAATCCAGCAATTCCACTTCTAGGTGTATAGACTCACCCAAAGAATTGAAAGCAGGGCCTTGAGGAGATATCTGTGCACCCACGTTTATAGCAGCATTGTTTACATAGCCAAAAGGTGGGAGCAACCCACGAGTCCATCAGTGGGCGAATAGATAAACAAGACATGGTATCTACATACAACGGAATACTACTTAGCTTTAAAACGTAGAAGAATCCTGAAACATGCTACAACATGGATGAAACTGGATGACATTATGCTAAGTGAAAGAAGACAGTCATTAAAAGACCAGCGCAGCACGGTTCCACTTATATGAGGTGCCTACAGTGGTCAGGTTCATAGAGCCAGAAAACAGATGGTAAGCACCAGGGGCTGGGGGAAGGACAGGGGCTGGGGGAAGGACACATGGGGAGCTGCTGTTTAATGGGTACAGAGTTTCAGTTTTGTGGCTCTGGAGATGAATGTTGGTGATGTTTGCAAAACACTACGCACATACTTAGTATCACTGAACTGCACACTTAAAATGGTTAAGATGATAAATTTTATGTTGTATGTATTTTGTCACAATTAAAAAACTTTTTGAAAACTAATAGAGTTACATTAAGAATATATTTTTTAGAAAAAGATATCTGCTCCAGGTGCCAAGTATGCTGGGTACTCCACTGACAAGAAGAATGGGAAGTCTTAGGTCTAGCTACTCGGTCTAAGAGAAGAACAATATCAATCATGGGGGGCTTCCTGGAGGAGGTGATATGGTTGGGCTTGATGCTAGGCCAAGGAAGTATTACAGCAGTGAATGATTTCACCTCAGTGCCATCTAGGCCTTGCTCTCAGCTCACTTCTTCATGGTCTCCAAGGAGGCAAGGAGCTTGGAATACCCACACTGCTGTCACTTGGCAACCAGAAACTGGTGGCTCCAGCCACCTACCAAGTTATTTCCACGGTCCTGGGCCCTCACCTCTGGCATGGGCTCTGTTCTTCCCAGATAGTGGGGGCCCAGGCAGGGAGGCACCTACCACCTGCTTCCCTTCTCAGTCACTCACAGGCCTTCACAGGACAGCCTGGGACTCCTGTGGACGTAGGTAGGTACACAGAAAACCCTGGGTGGGCCAGGGCAAGCACGAACCGACTCCAGTCCCAGAAGACCCCATCCCTGGAGAATCCTGGGGCTCAGGGAAGATGGAACACAGTCCTGGCCCCCAAGGATTCACATCTGGAGCAGGAGACAGAGCTCCCTGCATTCTTTCCGTGCACAAGGCTAATGTTTCTTCCATGCTGGCTGCTAGTCATAGACTTTCTAAGGTAGGGCTCATCCGTAGATGAGGGACTGAGGACACAGTAGATGCTGCTACAGTGACCTGCTCATCCCCAGTAGTCACCTCTAAGCACCAGGGACTGCTCTCTCTGCATTCTGTCACTTTCTCCACATTCTGTAACCCCAGCGGCAGCTCTCGACCTTGGCAGTCACCCTCAGTGGGGACAACTCGAACCTGTCCCACATGCCCCACACTGCCTCCCTGGAGTTCCCGCAGGAGTGAGCGCTAGTGGCTCACAGAGGTGACTGCCTGACTTCATCACATTCTCTCTACTGGCTGCCATTCCTTCCTATCTCCCTTCCACAGTCCCCCATGACTATTTCCTGGAATCAGCTTCCTCAGAAACATTCAAATTCGGATCTCTCCATTGACTTCTAAGGAACCCAGCTAAGACAGGAGCAATGGTGTACAACAGGGAACCAGCATTCTGTACGCAAAGCAGTGTTGACCCAAGGGGTAGAGACGATGTATTTGTATCACTGTGTTCAGACAAGAAGGGAGTACATTGTCTAAAATACCCCAAAGTGGTCATCAAACAGACCAAAGGCCAGTCTGCTTTATATCATCACCATGAGCCAGCAATTCCAACCAACTTCAATGGTAAAATTCTCCCTTCCACTGAGGCTGACAGCTCTCCCTGACCCCTGCCTCTGGGTACCCCACTAACATGCACGTAGAAGAGAGTCATTAATCATGGACAAGAGAGATGAGGGAGAGCCTCACTTGGGAGGCAACCCTGACCCTCCACTCACACAGAACTAACAGTATTCACGCTTTCATGTCTTTGCATATACTGTTCCCTTTACCTGAACACCTTTTGTTCCCTAATGGACACCCAATCTTCCATTAAAGTTCTGTGCATCAGACCATCTCTTCCTCCAAGAAGCCCTCCCTACCCCTCAGCCTGAATCGGATGCTTCCCCTCGGATGCAGACCTCTGAGTGCCTCTCTATCACGGCAGTTGTCATACTAGGTTACTCTTGCCTGTAATTTTGTTTTTTGAACACTAGACAGTGAGCTCCACAGGGACAGGAACTTGTTCATCTGGATCTGGCTCAGAGAAGACACTTAGGTATGGTGCTGCCACAGGGCAGGACCTTTGTGCAGTGTGCAGCTTGCACCATGGTCCATGGCAGACCAGCCATGAAGGTGAACGGTGGAATAAATGGATCTGTGGGAAATTTCCATAACTGGGTAAGGGCATTACAAGCAGAAGGGAAAGAACAAGCAAAAGCAGAGACACCTGAAAGTGTAGAACTTCTCAGAGCAAACGGTTTTATGCCACAGGCACTTGTATCTCAGAGAGGAGTTCCACAGACACAAACTTTATCATCACCCAGAATGTGGTCAACACACTTGCACTCTCCCTCCAACCTGTTCATCTGAAAGCTGGTGGCAGCTCTCAGAGCTCTGAAGATTGGGTCCAAGAATCTGGGCATCCCAGGGAAACCCTAAGAACATAACATTTGGAAAAGCATGGGGCCCAGCTGACAAAGTGAATGGTGGACTAGAAAAGATGAGACCTGCTCAGATCGGGCTTAGGTCAAGAACTCATTCATTCAGCATTCATTCATTCATTCTTTCAGTAATTACATACTGAGCATGGAAGGCACTCAGGTACATTTGTGCACAAAGTAAACATGCTCTCTTGTACAGTGGGAAGACAGTCACTAAGTAAATAAATGCCTAATATAATGTCGGGTTGTCATGAATGCCTTGCAGAAATAAAAGCAGGGTAAAGGGTTGAGGAGTGGAGAAGGTCATTTTGGATGTGTGGTCAGGGAGGCCCTAGGTTGAGTCTGGTGAGTAAAGGAGCCATTTGAAATGAAAAGCAAAGCATGCATATGTTTGAGGAAAAAGCATTCCATTAAGAGGGATGTAAAGGCCTGGAGAAGAGAACACAAGACGAGGGAGACTGGTCGGGAAGCTATTGCCATGGTGTAAGTGTGGACACTTGGAACATCAAACCAGAACGGAGACAGTGATGGTGGCAAGAAGTGGTCAGTGTCCGAATATATTTTGAGAGCAGAAATGACGAGCTTTGTTGTTGGGTCAGCTGTGGGTGTGAAAGAAGACGGGAGCCAAGGTCACTGCAGCTGGGAGTAAAGGGAATGAGGGACAGTTGGAGGTGACTCAGAAAGCTACAGGATTGGTGGAGCTGGAGGGGACAGACCATATGCAGGTCCCAGGAAGAACTTTACTTTTCTGTTGTGTGTGATGGGAACCCTGCGAGGTTCTGAGGAGAGGTATGTGATTTGACTTGTTTTCTAACAGAATCTCTCAAGTTGTAGCATGCAGGACAGATGGTAGGGTGACATAGACAGAGTGGTGTAGTTCAGAGGCTGATGCCACACATCCAAGTGAGTGGTGACCAGGGCTTGAACCAGCTTACTGACTGGAATGGGGAAACTAAATTTATTTTACTGAAAGCAAAAAGTGGATTTCATGAAACTTGAAGAAACAATAGATGGTAAAAATCATAAAGGGGGCAGGCAAAGAAATGTTTGAATTTGGTGGTGGATCCCAAGCTCCAGTTCTGCAGTTAACACTGTGTCTCTTTGTGAAAGTGACTTCAACTCTGTGAGCCGTTTTGTCATTTTCAAAATGGAAATGATAATGAGTAGATTTCACAGAGTTGAGAGGGAAAGCGATGGAAAGGTTTTATCACAGGATGTAGCCCACAATAAACACTTAAGTGTTATCCTAGGAGTTCCAGTAGCATCTCGACCACTCACTGGTAGGCTGTGTCATCTTGGTCAAATTATCCCTCTGTCTCACCTTCCTTATCTATGAAATGAGGCCCATTTATCATTAATACCAACCGCATAGGGTCGGGTCATGAAGACTTGGAATAATGTGGCACGTAGCAAGGGCTCGTGCTAGCGATGATTATGAATATACTTTTGCCATATTCCCCGGCCTCCTCCCTGCCTAGCACGCCCCATCTAGCAGATGGGAGAAGTCTGTGGCTCACAGCAAGCTGGCCTCTAGGAGGACGCATCGCCCCGCGGGAAGCGTCCACTTGGAGACTGGGGAAGTAGGGACTCCAGCTTTGACCCGACGCGTCACGCGCGCGCGCCGGGGCGGAACCTTTAAGCGTCGCACTCGCATTTGCAGCCCGGCGCGCCTAGTGCAGATGGGCCGACGCTGGCACCTACTTCCGGGGACCCCGCCCCTCCCCGCCCCCGGGCGTCTCCATTTTGGTCGCAGGTGTAGTAGACCCGCCCAGAAGCAGCGCAAGAGCAGAGCGGAGTAGTAGGTACTTGGGGACCGGGCCGACTCACTGCTGCACTCTTCCCCTTTCTCCCCGTCAAGCAGAAGCCGCGGGCGCTCATGGCGGGCCTGGAGGTCTTGTTCGCTTCGGCGGCGCCGGCCATCACCTGCGCGCAGGACGCGCTCGTCTGCTTCTTGCACTGGGAGGTGGTGACACACGGCTACTACAGCTTGGGCGCCAGTGACCAGGTACGCTGCGGAACCGGCCAGCGGTAGCGGGGGGCTGTCTTCTGTGCAAGCCAGAGGACCGGAGGCCTGGTCCCGAGCTCCAGACTCCACCCGCTCCGCCTTCCCAAGCCCGGGGCCTGGGGCGCAGGACACTGTTGGGAAAGCCTGCGCGTCGAGGGCGCCCATCTGTCCCAGCCCAGCCTGGATCCCCTCCCAACACAGCTGGCACTTGATTGTAAACCCAAGGACAGAAACTCGGCAGCACAGCCTGGCGGTCTCTCGGGCCAGGATTGTGTGGATTTGGCACTGAGACGGCGAGGTTAACTCCCCAGAGCATTCCTTCCCTCTCTGAGCCCCTCCAGGCTCCTCCCCGCACAGCCTCGGTGTGAGGTTGAGGGGACTCCCTCGATCCTGCCCTCCTACCAAACTCGAGCCTCCACCAAAGGTCTGGATCCAAGTGCGGCTATGGCGGTGAGCTGTGACGACCCCAGTCCCAGGCTGAGACCCTTTTGTTACCCCTCAGCGTGGACCCTGAGAGCTCACACACCCTTCACTTCTTACTAAAGGACCCGGTGTAACCCACTAGCCACTATCACACTGTCTCAGACTCTGAGAAGCAACCACTGCCTCCCCACCCCATGCGTGTACATACATACACCATGAGTGTGAGGGTCAGATAAGGTTTTCCTTCCACAGCTGTCCCCACAGAGCCAGCCCGTCCTTCACTCCCATCCCCAGACTCTGCCTCTTACAGCTGGGGAGGACTGCGGGACCCTCCCCACCTCACTCATTCCTTCCATCTTGCCTGTCCCTTCCCTGTGACCCTACCCCAAACTCATCCAACACATCAGCTTCCTGGAAGAACTGGACCTGGCCCCCTTTACTGCCTCTTTGGTTTTTATCTCTTCCAGCAGAGAAAATATCCTCCCAACCGTGCTCCCCACATACACACACTTGGGCATGCAGGACTCTGGACCTGCCCCTCACTGTCACTGTCCTCTCACTTTCAGAACCAGACCAGCTCTCAGAAGCAGACCACCCACCCCTGGCATCTTGCAGTGAGATTTTAACCCTCCTCTCATTATTAGCTGCTTCAGTTCTTAACCCCCCCCATCCTTTCTTTGCTTCTGAGATACACATCAGTCTTATTAATTTTCCTCTCTTGACACAGCTTTAGGAATCTTTCCTCAAACATACTTTATACATTCTGAGCACTTAGGCAAGTATACCCCCTTCTCCCACTGTCCCCATTCTTCTCTTTCCCTTAGAACTGAGGACCAAGACCACCGTACCCCTTTCACACTGTATCCCTATCAGCAGGCATCAGAGCATAAGAACCGTCATGGATTTGTGTCTCTTTTTCAGATCTCACTGGGACTCCCAGGTACACACTCTGTCCCCATTCCCACCTCCAGACTCATGTACACTTCATTTCTCACTCGGGCTCTCAGGCTGGAGACAGGGCTGCAAAGAAAAATCAGCTGTCCTCACATACCCCTCCAAAATCACCTCTCCTTGGCCTCTCTGTTTACACTGCATTTTGTTCTGTTTACCTTGCCTTTCAACAGACCCCGGGACAAAGAAGAGGCAGCCCTCCTGCCCCACTCACAAATGTCAGGTCCCCCTTCAGTGCGTTGTCCGTTCTCCCAACAGAAGTCTTATGTCTCCTACCTGCCTGTTCCAGCATTCTAACCTGACAGCTCTCCACTTGTCCGCGTCGGTTCATTTCAACTTTTCCTGGACAGTTCTCCCAGGAAGTTGATGTGTAGTATGGCTCAGAGGACAATGGGACTGGAAAGAGGAGGAAGACTTACTTAGCTTTGACCTTGGTGCTCCTCTAGTGGCCCTCAGCTCCTCAAACCCTTAGCCCTGTCTTTCAGATGGAGCAGGTCTGCCCTGCTCTGCCTTCCTCATGTACCTCACTCCCTTTACATACTCCCCGCTGGCCACTTCTGTTCAGCCACACTATCAGTCCCTTCACCCTCTGCCCCCAGGACCAGGAACTTGTGGCCTGCCTGACCCCTCCTCCTCTGACTATTCCACAAATACGTGTCAGTGCTACAGGTCTGCTTTGCAACTGCCTCCTCATTCATTCTGTTTGACAGTTTAGGGACATCAGTTCTCATAGGTTGATGCCTCCTTCCAGCTGTCATCATCTCCTTGCCATATACTTGAGACCCTAGAATTTTCAGGTGAACTGTGCAGAAAGAATATGGATTCATTTTAATACTAGTTTTTAAAACAACAGAGGTCCTTGACTGCTTCTCAAAGTCTGTCTTATTCTGCTGTGTTCCTGCTGCCATCTGTTGAGCTTCTACAGGCTGGAAAAAGATGCTCACCCCAGACATCTTTGGAGAGGCCAAGGACCCTGGGGAATAGGGCTTTTGGAAGGCATTGCCCACTCTCCCTCTGTCTAGTGCTAAATCTTGCATGGCCCAGAAGGGACAAGTGTTTGGATTGCAAACTAGGTTGTGGTGTATTTTTGCTTCTCTCTGCCTTTTCTTCTTAATTACCATTGGGGTCAGGTTACACTTGTCCTCCTCTCACTTCTGCTGAGTCTCCTTTCATGCAGAGTAGCAGCTGTTTATAGAGGATGTCTTTCCTGTTTGTTTATTGAAGAGGGAGTTTAATTTTCTAGCCTGGGGCAGCAGACTCAGCTGAGACCAGTAATGTTTCCAGGCTCAGAGGATGATAAGGCCACCTCCCACTCCCCACCCTCCTGGGGATGATAAGGAGAAGAAGGTCTTAAGAGTAAATGCTTTACTATGTAATATATGGACAGTTAAATGGAAAGCTGGATGGGCTGCTTTCTCTTGGCTTTGTCTCCTCTGGTACAGGGGAACTGTGCATGGAAAACTTGTTAGAAGAGCATCAGGGCCATTGGCTCCAACAAAAATACAGAATTTGAACTTAGACTTGTTTCTTGGAGTCAGCCTCACTCCTCATGAGAGATAAGTGGTTTAGGTGTCAGGGGATAGAGGTGGCCATAGACATAAGTTAGAGAGTTTGTTTTCTGTTGTGGGGAACCTAAGGGTTATGATGAACGGGAAGAAATACCCAGAATGATCTCTTGAAGTTTATTTGGGTGCATTATAGCCCAGGGTCCCTGGGACAAACTCATGGCCATTTAAGAATGCTGTCATCACCCCAATTTTGCCAATTTTCTTTACTGTCTTGGAGCCAGTCTGGTGAATTTGACTGGGAAATGTCACTAGCCATGGCCTCAGCAGCCAGGAACTCTGAGTACCAAATCCAGCTATGTGCCTGACTTGCTGTGACCTTGGGCAATTCTCAGTTCCTTCCAGCCTTATATTTTTAATCAGAGGGAGTTAAACTACATGGCCATGCACTTTGGCTACTTTGCAGCTGTAACATTCTGTTACCTAATGTTAGGCCCTGCAGTGCAGTTGAATGCCATGTTTGGCTTGATATCATCAGGGCCTGTCCCTCTCAGTCCCACCTCTGTTTTCTGGGGGAACATCAGTTCTGCTGCGGTTAGAGACATCAACCTCACCTGACCTCAGGGATTTTCCCAAAGGCAATGGGGCATTGAGCAAACCAAATTGTCTATATTCCAAGAAAGAACTCTGGTGATTAAATGCTGTACATGGTGGTTATAATATAAATTAAAAGGCCCTTGACAGAACAAAGATAAGACATGTCATCAAATTCCTGGCTTCCAAAGTACAGCACTAGTTGCATGCAGTGGCGTATGCTTGTAATCCCAGCTTCTCTGGAGGCTGAGGCAGGAGGATTACTTGAACCTAGGAGTTTGAGGCCAGCCTGAGCAACTAGTGAGACCTTGTCTTTAATTTAAAAAAGAAAAAATAAATTGCTTAAGAAGACAGTTATCTTTATTCTCACAACACTAAACATATTTATAGAAAATCTACCCAGTTTGAGATGAGGAGACAGTTTCTCTTTCTCACTCACCAGGGTGGTTTGATAAGTTTCACTTTCGTTTTTCATCACTCTTGTTTCTCTGCTTCAGACCTGTGAATTTCACTGTCATCCGGCCAGGTTTTAAGCTGTGCCAGTTGCAACATCCTGAATTGTATTTGGGACCACTTTCCCGGTAGATTCCTGAGCACCAGTGGTGACCAGAGAGGAGAGACCAGCAGTTCTCGGTTCATGGCCTCCTGTTGTCCTTGGTGTGGATGAAGTCCTGCTTTTCTGGACCTCTGCCGTTGTTCTTCATCTCTGGTCCCACTCGTTCCCACCACATTTCCACAAGTGCAGATCTTCCCAGTCTACCTGCCCATGGTGAGCGATATACATATGCGTCCATGAAAAAGCGATGTAGTATTTTCTGTATGCCTCAAAAAGTTTTTACATAAATGAGGTTGGAGTGTAAGCCTTATTTTTCCTGAACTTCTCTTTAAATCGTATTTTTTATTTTATGCATAACATTGCATAGGTCTAGCTTGTTCCTTCTGACTGGTATATAGTATTCCACTGTAAGCATATGTTAGGTTTTACCTCTACTCTGACTGATTCCGGCAGGGCTGTGATAAAGATACCTTGTCACATCCCATGTGTGTCTGCACTGGATTTCTTCTAGGAGTAGGGATTTGGGGTCATAGGATATTACTCATCCAATTGCACTAAATGCTGCCAGATTGCTTCCCAGATGGGCTATATGAGTTTAAATGCCCACCAGCAGTGCCTGAAGGTTCTCATTCTCCCCACACCCACGTAAACATCTGGCCAAAAAAAAAAAAAGGATACCAATTCGAGGAGTGTAACCTGGTGTCTCATTATTTCAAGCTGTGTTTCTCTGATCACGAGGGCGGTTGAACAACTCATTATACAGTGTTAGATGCTCTTTTCCTTGTTCATGTTTCTTACCAGTTTGGAAGGTTCCTAACTGTTAGTGTTTTTGAACAGACGCTTTAACTTATGAACAGTCTCAAAAGCAGCATGTTTTTCTTTTATGGCTCTTGTTTAAGAAATCTTCCCCACCTGCAAACCACTTATTCTTTTTACTACAGAAATCATTTGAGAACTGTTTCTCAAACTTTAGAGTGTACAGGAAAGTCCTAGGATTATTAACAAAATAGAAGAAAGGAAGGCATCACAGCTCACAATGAGATGCATGTGCCACCCCGAGGCTGACAAGTATTAAAAAGTTGGACAGTAGGGCTGGGCTCAATGGCTCAGCCTGTAATCCCAGCACTTTGGGAGGCCAAGGCGAGTGGATTGTCTGGCGTGGGTTTGAGACCAGCCGGAGCAACTTGGGGAGATCTCATCTCTACAATAAATAAAAAAATTAGCATGGTCACGCACGCCTATAGTTCCGGCTACTTGGAAGGTGAAGGTGGAAGGATCACTGGAGCCCAGCAAGTTGACGCTAGGGTGGTCATGAGTATGCCACGGCACTCCAGCCTGGGCAATGGAGTGAGACTCCAACTCAAAAAAAAAAAAAAAAATGTTGGACAGTAGCAGTATTGCTGACCATGCGGGGCAGCAGGGGAGCCCATACATTGCTAGTGGGAGTGTAAATCAGCACTTCTTTGGAAAACAGTTTGACTTATCTTGTAAATTAAATTTTTCCTCTGGGCATACTCTATTGAAATGTATCCACATGTGTACCAGATGTATAAAAATATTCATAACAGCATTGTTTATAATAACAAAACAAACTGCAAACACCCCTAAGCATAACCAAGTAGATGTGTAAATTGCAGCATATTCACATCATGGAATGCTGTGCAGCTGTGAATGTGAATCAACTATAGTTCATGGATAAATTTCCCAAAACAATGCCAAAATAAAAAAGACAAGTGGCAGTGATGCTCTTTATATAAAATTTAAAAACATTTGAAGCAGTATATTTTTATGGTTGTATGCATTGTGATACAACTCTAAGGAAAAGTGAAAAAACTTAAAAATATACAGTAGTGGGTAGTGGTTACTCTTGAGGAGGAAGGAGAGAGAGTCATTGGGGTACGCTACCCAAGACTTTAGCAGTGTTGGTGATATTCTGTTTCTCAAGCTGATGGTAGCCACATAGGTGTCCATATTATGATTTTTTATCTTGTATGTATCTATGTTTTGTATATATACGAAAATTGTTTATAAATCACTGCAGTCAGTTGGGGGATACATTAGGATCTGTGTTTTTAGTCAATACTTTGGCGATCCTAATTTGCAGATGGCCCAAGGTTTAAACTGTGAAAAATACTACTGAATTTCACAGTGTTCCTTAAGATGATTGACCTTCTACTTAGTAGAGAGATGAAGAAGTGATAATTAAACCAAGTCTGCAGATTCTTGACAAGTTCCAGTGCTGTGTCATAAAGATAACTAGACATGAGGGAGAGAGCAGTAGAACAAGAATACAGAGACCTGGGTCCTAGATCTTTGACTTGCTGTATGACCTTGAGCAAGTCACTTCTCTTGACCTCTACATCCTCATCTAGGATCAGATTATCCGTAAGGTCCTCTGTAGCTCTGTGTTCTGAGGTCACAATCCTCTCAACCATGTTCTCTCAGCCAGGTCCCGATGATAAGAAATCAGAACTGTTGCCAGCTGGATGGAGTACCAATAAAGACCTGTATGTCCTCCGGTATGAGTCCAAAGATGGGTCCAGAAAGCTCCTTGTGAAGGCTATCACCATGGAGAGTAGCATGATCATCAATGTGCTGGTAAGTCTGCGAGAAACGTGAGTCTGCTGAAGACAGTAGGGTTTGGGGTGGCCCTTTGGAAACCCACATAGCAGTGTGGATCCAGAGCTGTCAGTGTTTATGAAGCCTTTACCTAGTGGTCCCGCTTCTGGAACTTTGTCCTAAGGTGAGAACCCTAAATATGAAACACTTTATGCACAGTGACGTTTACCACCTGACATTAAGAAGGAGAGGCTTTCTGTCAACAGGGGATCAGTTAAATAAGGTAAACCCATTTAGTGACAAGACAAGAGAAAAAAGCTTATCGGAGCCCCCAGTGGGCAACTTCAACTCCGTAAGTAAGCCAAGTTCTTTGCTTGCGTTTCCTGTACTAGAAGTTTCTTCCCTGCTCTGTCACCACCTCACACATGCACCCCCTCTCCCATTCCTTCAGAGTGGCTGACTCTCGTTTATTTTTCACCTCCTCAAAAAGTTCAGTCCTGACTGTCCACTCTGACCTGCCAGAAATCTAAATTATGCCTCTTTGTGTCATCATTTTATTTTCTTGCCTGTACTTACCACAGCGGTCATTGTGTACCTATTTGTGCTTTGTTTTAATGTCTGTATTCTGCTACTGGACTGTAAATTCCATGAGGGCAGTGACTTTTTGTATTAAGTTTTGTCGTGGTTGTTTGTGTCTGACCACATAAATGTATTCTGTATATATTACACTGCACTTGGCTTTTTTCACTCAATATGTTTTATAGGTCTTAACTTGGGAATACATATAGATAGAACTTATTAATTTTAACTACTATTTAGTATTCCATAATCTCATAATTTATTTATCCCTTTCCCTTTGGATTAACACTTAGATCTTATAACAGGTAGAGTTCTTAGTTGTAAACAACAAAAACCTCTCAGGTTAGTTTAAGCAGAAAGGGTTTATTAAGAGAACCAGGATGCTCATTGAAACAGGTTCCAGGCTGGGCTTCTAGGAGCAGTGTCCCAAGTGACGCCACGGGAACCACTGCCCAGCATGAGGGACTGGCTGGTACTATTTGCCCTGCTGCCCCCTCCTTTTCATCTGCTGACTTTGTGACGCTTGCAGCCTCTGCTGCTACCCTCGTTGGCAAGATGCTTGCCTCTTGCTGGACCTTCTCCATGTTGCTTACCTCCAAGGGAAAGTTGATGCATCAGTTTGATACCTCAATTACACACTTTTGTCTCATTGTAAATGAGCCTGGGAAGTAGATTTTCTGGCATCTGCCTTGGAATGGCAGTATTCCTAAATCAGAGAAGTCCCCAAGCATTTGGAGGGTATTTCATTTATTACAGACAGTCCTTATGTATGCCTTTTTGTGGACATATGTGAATATTCCTTTAGGGTGGATAATTCATTGTTGCTCTCCTCCCACCCACCTACCCACTCACTCAGAAATATCCCAGTCTTTCATTTTCTGTTCTCATTTTTCTAGGAATATGGTTCACAGCAAGTGGCAGACTTGACCTTAAACGTGGATGATTATATTGATGCAGAACACCTGGGTGACTTCCACAGGTACTTCTAAATGATGTTTTTCCCCTGAAAAAAAAAGAGAGCCAATGGCAACCTGTAAGGCATGGGGTGGATGTGTTCAGAAAATTGAAGAAGGTAAACAGAAGGACCTTCTCTCCTGGGCACAGTCACTTCTCAATTCTCTTTCCTGTTTTTAATTTATTTGAAGAGAGACTCACATAGGAAGTACCACATGAAATAAAATGATGCAGTCAAGAGGTCTCACATACTATGGTGGGCATAGATTGCAGGCTAGGCCAACTAAGAGGGTCCTGGAAGGAAGTGTGCCTAATCAGGTTCCCACTCCACCCCTGACTTTTTAAAAATAGACACTATTTTTTAGAGCAGTTTTAGGTGCAAGTAAAAATGAACCGAAAGTACAGAGAGTTCCCATGTTCATAGAAACATTATTCACAATAACCAAAAGATGAAAGCAACCTAGGTGTCCATTGACAGATAAGTGAATAAGCAAAATGTGGTATACACATAAAATGGAGTGCTGTTCAGCTTTAAAGAGGATAGAAATTCTGACACATGCTGTAATATGGATGAACCTTGAGGACAGTATGCTAAGTGAAAGAAGCCAGTAACAAAAGGGCAAGTGCTGTGTGTTTCCACTTATATGAGAGACCTAGAGCAGCCAGATTCATGGAGACAGAAAGTAGATGGTGGTTGACAGGGGCTGAGGGAGAGGGCAATGAGGAGTTATTGTTTAATGAGTAAAGAGGTTGTTTAGCAAGATGAAAAGAATTCTGGAGATAGATAGTGGATGATTGTACAGTAGTGTGAGGGTCCTTAATACTGCTGAATTGTTCACTAAAAAATGACTAAGATGGTACATTTTATGTATATTTTACCAGTTTAGATTTTTTAAAAATTCTTTTAAAAAAACCTTCAGTGGCCGGGCTCACTGGCTCAGCCTGTAATCCCAGCACTTTGGGAGACCAAAGCTAGTGAATTTCCTGAGCATGCAGGTTCAAGACCAGCCCAGGCAACTTGGCAAGACCTCGTCTCTACAATAAATTAAAAAATAGCTGGGCGTGATAAGCATGTGTCTATGGTTCTGGCTACTCGGAAGGCTGAGGCAGAAGGATCACTGGAGCCCAGCAGGTTGACACTGGGGTGGCCATGAGCGTGGATGCCACTACACTCCAGTCTGGGCAAAGGAGTGAGACTCGAACTCAAAAAAAAAAAAACCAATCTTCGGAGATGTTAGCTGCTATTAGGATACAGAAAAAAATCTATGATGAAGCCATAAAGCCTAGCACCTACTCCTCTAGCCTCATCCTGTTTCACCTGCCCCTCGGTCCCTGCGCCTCAGTCACAGTGTCATTCCCCTCCCCTGTTCAGACCTCTTCCCTCTGCCTGGAGTGCTCTCCCCAACCTACATAACCAACTCCTGTTCATTCTTTGGTTCCCAAGTTAAATACCAGTTCCTCAGAGAAGCATCCTCTAGACCCCATGTTTGGTGTTTCAGAACATCCTTTTTTAAGCTTTTAGTAAGTGAATATTTTATGATTTGCTTCTTAGAGTTGGCCTCCCCTTTTTGCTGTGACTTCCTCAAGGGCAGGCTTGGGCTGTTTTGCATGTAGTAGACAGAGGATTGAAGGAGGAAAGTGAACCCAGACCTGGCCATGCAAAGTGCTGCTCTTCTGGGTGTCACCCATGCCATGACAACCCTAGCCCCTTGAGGGGTTGAAAGAAGAACATCATGATGTGGTCTTTCTCGACTTCCTCTTTCTGGAATTCCACTGAGAGAAATGTATAAAACCTGTGGAAGAACCCAGGCACTGTGTGGACCATTCGTGCTCATTAGAGCATTTAGTCCACTCAGCAGTACTGAGAGAGAATTGTAGTGGTGTCTCCACTTGTTTTTTAAACACATTTGTGTGAGGGGGAGGGTATGTGTTTTGTTTTATTTTCTTTTTTGATTACTGTGAAATGAGGGACACAATAGTACAACCCCAGTGTTTTTCTGAGAGTGAAATGAGATGTCAGCACATAGAGTGCTTAGTGCTGAGTCCCGCTCTTAGTATAATAAATACACAAAGGCAGAAAAAATCTGATCACCAGAAATCATCTTCATGGAAACTGAGGCTGTGAGAGCTGAGGTGTGGATTTGCCTCCTGATCACAGACCCTCCCTCACCTCTGCCTTCTAGCCAGCAGCACTAAAGCACCCTTCCTCCATCTGGCCCTGTCTGCTGTGTAATCCTGGCACGTCTCACCTCATCTAGGAATTTGTCCCTCAGTGGGCAAACTGTGATTTGCTAAGGCGTGTAAACCTATTGTGTTCTCATCTGCTGTGCCCTTCTGTGTCAAACAAGATGATAGACTGTCTTTGGCCACTACCAAAAAGTCAGTCGTTCTGCCTCAAGGCTTAGAAATTGTGTAAGAACTTCTGCTTCAGGACTTGGTCTTTAAATCAAGCCTAGGGAGATCAAAGGCCTTCCTCTGACCTGATATAGGAAAGGGTAGTTAGATTTACCCTCTACCCAGCTTGATGGGGCAACCAAGGTTCTGTGTTCTAAGTAGAAACATAATCTGTGTGGGATTTGTACCAAAGTTCATTTGTTTGCCTATATAGGTGTCCATTTGCTCCAGTACCATTTGTTACACCTTCATTGAATTACTATTGCAACTTTGTCAAAAATCAGCCTTCTGTACTTCTGTGGATCTACGTCTAAATTCTCTATTATTTTCCACTGATCAATATGTCTTCTCCTCTGCCAATATTAATTTGCCAGTACTGACTTTGTAGCTATGTGGTAGGCCTTAATGTTGAGTAGAATGATTCCACTCACTTTTTTGTCAAGATAGTTTTGACTGTTCTAGGGTGTGTGCCTTTTCATATAAACTTTAGAATAAGCTTGTCTATATCTGTGAACAACCTTGCTAGGGTTTTGATAGGAGTTGCAGTAGCCCTATAGATTAGTTTGTGGAGAATTGACGTTCTTACTGTGAATATGGTATGTCTCTCCATTTATTTAGGTTTTATTTTATGTCAACATCATTTTGTAATTTTCAACATATAGATCCTGTATATGTTTTATTATTTTTTAAGTGGGAGGGAGAGGATTATAAACAATATTTTCTTAGTTTCAGTTTTCAAATGTTCATTGTTATTATATAGAAATGCAGTTGATTGTCATTGTGCTGATCTTGTATCCTGTCACCTTGCTGAATTCAAGGTGTTATAGGCAAGTTTTTTGTAGATTCCTTGGGAATTTCAAGGTAGACTATCATGCCATCTGCAAATAGGGACAGTTTATTCTTACTTTCTAATCTGTATGGCTTTTCTTTTTCTTGCCTTATTGCAGCGGTTGGAACTTCCATTGTTGTGTTAATTAAGAGTGATGAGAAAGAGTGGCTTTGCCTTTTTCTCAGGGACAAAGTATTTAGTCTTTCACCATTAAGGATATTGTTAGTTGTAGGGTTTTTATAAATGCTCCTTATCAAGTTGAAGTTCCCCTCTATTCTTTGTTGAGAATTTTTAACATGAATGCATTTATCATGTTAGACTTTGCCATGCGCTCTTTTTTTACATCCTTATGATTTGTCTTCTTCAGCTTATAAATATGATAATATGACATTGATTTGTGATGTTGAATCAACCTTTGCTTGCCTAAAATAAATCCTACTTGGTCATGGTTTATAATTCCTTTAATACATTTTTAAATACAATTTGCTAATATTTTGTTGAGGATTTTTTCATCTAAGTTTGTAGGAGATACTGGTTTGTAGATTTTTTTGTATGCTCTTTGTCTGGTTGCAATATCAGAGTAATACTGTTCTCGTGGAATCATTGGAGAAGTGTTCTATCCTTTTGTGTTTTCTGGAAGTGACTGTAAAATCAGCGTTAATTCTTCTTTAAATGTTTGGTTGAATTCGCCACTGAAATCATTTGAACCTGGAGATTTTTTTTTTAATGTTAAATACAAGGGGAACCCCCAAAACCCTGGAATTTGTTTATAAAAAATTGTGTATTCTTACATGTTTAAACTTCAGTCACCTTCAAAGTACTCTGTGTTTAATGCTTTATACCTATTGAGATGCTTTTTCCACTGCTCAAAACAGTTTTTGAATTTGTCAATTTTGTTGCCTTTTAGTGCTTCTGCTGTTTTTTTGTTTCACCTTTTCCACATTGGCAAAAGTTTCCCTTTGAGGACTTTTTTCATCTGGAGACATTTAAAAAAAAAGGTGCTCAGAGCAAGATCAGGTGAATAGGGAATGTGGGGCACAGGGGTCATGCTGTTTTTGGTCAAAAACTGCTGAATACTCAGCCTGGTGTGGACAGGTATACTCATAAATCACCCATCATGATAATGGACAAATACATTGAAAAAATCTCCAAAAAAATGCACTGAAGCCGAATGCAGCCTTTCACAACAATGCTAGCTGGTACACTGATGCTGATGGGTTCCTAGAACACTTACCTGTATTGCAAGGGACCCACCCCCCAAAAGATAATTTTTTGGGGATCTTCCCTCATATTCTCTTAATAGAACTGTTCAGATTATCTTTTTAATTTTGGCTGAGTTGTTATAGTTTATAGTTTTTAAGAATTGGGTCTACTGGGTGCGGTGGCTCACGCCTATAATCCCAGTACTTTGGGAGGCCGAGGATTGCCTGAGCCCGTGGGTTCGAGACTATCCTGGGCAACTTGGTGAGACCTCATCTCTACAATAAAAATAAAAAATTAGCCAGGCATAGTGGCGTGTGCCTGTAGTTCCAGCTACTTGGAAGGCTGAGGCAAAAGGCTTGCCTGAGCCCAGCAGGTCAAGGCTGCAATGGCTGAGAGCGTGCCACTGCCCTCCAGCCTGCGTGACAGAGTGAGACTCCAACGAAAAAAAAAAAAAATTGAGTCTATTCTGAGTTGTTGGATTAAATTGTTCTTAGTATTCTTTTGTTATCCTTTCAGTGGCTACAGATCTATTGTAATATCTCCTGTTTCATTTTTGATACTGGTGTTTTGTGTCTTCTCTGTCAGTCTTGTCAGAAGTTTGTCAGTTTCATTCTTTTAAGTATCTGGTTTTTGTTTCATTATTTTCTCTGTTTTTCAGTTTTCTGTTTTATTGATTTCTGATTTCTATTACTTTCTTAATTCTACTTGCTTTGGGTTGAATTTGCTCTTCTTTTTTCTAGGTTCTTGAGGTCAAAATTTTCGTTATTGAGTTTCTTCCTCTTTTTTAATGTAAGCATTTAGTGCTATAAGTTTTCTTATCAATAATGCTTTAATTATATTCCATGTGTTTTAATACATTGCATTTTAATTTTTATTTAGTGCTATATATTTGTTTTTCAGGGCTTCCTCTTTGATCCATGGATTATCTGGAAACATGTTGGTTAATTTTCATGTATTTAGAAAATTACTTTCTGTGTTGATTTCTAGTATGATTCCATGTGGTTAGAGAACATACTCTGTGTGATTTCAGTTCTTTTAAGCATGTGAGGGTTGCTTTATGGGCCAGGATATGGTTTCTTTTAAAACACCAGTGTTTTAGGAACCCTTGAGTTCTGCCCTCTCTGTTCCCTCAACCTGCTTCAGCACCTCAGCTGTAGTTTGCATTGCTTGTCTCTCATAGGCAGAGAAGAGGCCCAGATGGGACAGATGTTCAGGGCAGCCTTCCGAGGACCCCTGGGTTAGTGACAGAACTGGGCCTTGAACCTACAGAGCTCTGCCTACCTGGACCAGGAAGCTGGGTCATCTTCCTCCTGGAGCCCTTTGTCTTCCATGACCCCTCCCATGACACATGATGAACACACAATGAAGCAGAGAGAGGGGTGGGGACAGAGGAGCAGCCAGTCCAGGCCCTGTGCCCTGACACCCTCACCTCTTTCTAATGGGGTGGTAAACGAGGAGGGGCAACTCAGATGCCTAAGAAGCTTAGGCCCAAATCTCGGAGACAGCGCCGGGCTGTTGCCCCCCTCACCCAGGTCCGCCGGACGGCCCACTCCCACCCTTGCAAACAGGCGAAGCGCAACGCCAAGAGCTATCAAGGCCCCCTCCGCTGCCCCTGCTGCCGCCAGAACACTGTTGACAGGGTTGCCAGCCAGCTGCAAGCGGTTGACTCCTCATCTGCTTCCTGCAGGACCTACAAGAATAGTGAGGAGCTGCGGTCTCGTATTGCTTCTGGAATCATCACACCTATCCATGAGCAGTGGGAGAAGGCTAGCAGTATAAGCAGTCCCCACCGAGAGTTCCCCCCAGCCACCGCCAGAGAGGTGGACCTGCTCCGGATTCCCCCACCGCACCCACACACGAGCCGCCAGCCGCCCTGGTGAGTACAGGACCCCCAGCAAGCAGCTTGTGCTCCTGCAGAGGGAGTCCAGCCAGCTATTCCCATCCTGCCGCTTGACCCCCTCCCTGGATCTCATGTGTTTTTCAGCAAAACTGTCAAAATCTTGGTGCATGGAGGTAGAAAATGGAGATGTAAGTAGAGCAGTGAGCTCTTGCACTGCTACTATTCACCCAACTACCCACTCTTTTAAGGCTACTTGCCTCCTTTGTAGAGGCTACACAGAGCCCCTGAGTCTTCCCAAGGGTCAATGCCAGAGTCACTGCCCAAGGAACTCACTACTAATTCATTCCAGAGCTCTTTATCTTGGTAGGATCCTGAGCCAGGCTTTTGGAGAAAATGCAAAGATGCAGAAGTCCTTCCCCAGAGGGGATGTGATCCCAGTGTTTTGCCCATTTCATTTCATTTTGTTGTGGTTCCCTGACACCTCTGACAATTTCAAAAGTTTTCCAAAACATCATGGGGTATGAGTAAGTCATATCTAAAGTCCTTGCAGATTAGGATGGCAGCAATAGGATTGGAGACTTGTGCTTTGAGGAGGAACAAGGACCAGGGTACCTTAGTCTCTAGCTGAGATAGCACTTTCCAGTTGGAGCCCACACTGTGGTAGTAATGCAGGGTTGGTGGGGTTGATGGGAGGGTTCACTCTGGGGTACATAGTAAGCACTTAAATTTAAACTATCATTATTATTTTTATTCTGTTTTGTAATTATATACCTTTGGTTAGTTAAAACTGGGAAAACAATTTAATTGTTATAAGTAATGATCGGTAAGTCTTTTCAGCAAAGTCTTCAAAAATACCATGTCCTGTGGAGAGAGTAGAGGATAATGAGACGTGGTTAAGAAGATTGGGAACAGTTTGTCTTATCTAACCTCCTTATTTTACAGTAGGAAACAGGTGAGATGACCTATCTAAGGTCACCAGCTCCTAATAAAGAGGCAGAGCCAGGACTGGAGTTAGATGTCCTCACTCCCTGCCCAGTGCACTGACTGTGATCCAACCAGAATATGATGGCAAGATGTAAGAATAAGCTCTGGTTAGTAGTCACATTGGGGAAGATTTTGAGGCCTTAAGTAAATAGCAATTCTTAGCTCTCTTAGACCCACGATCCATTTGTAAACAAATATTCTGTGAAATATCCTTTACTGCATTGAAGTGGAATTCCTAGATAATCTTACTTACCTAAGAAATCAGTATAAAGTCTTAACTATAATGTACATGAGGGCCAGGCTCAGTGGCTCAGCCTGTAATTCTAGCACTTTGGGAGGCCAATGCGAGTGGATTGCCTGAGCCCATGGGTTCGAGACCCACCCGGGTAACTTGGCGAGACCTCATCTCTACAATAAATAAAAAAAATTAGCCGGACGTAGTAGCACGTGCCTGTAGTTCCGGCTACTTGGAAGGCTGTGGCAGAAGTTTCACCGAAGCCCAGCAGGGCAAGGCTGCAGTGGCCAGGAGTATGCCACTGCACTCCAGTCTAGGCGACAAAGTGAGACAACAACTCAAAAGAAAAAAAAAGTGTGTGTGTACACACACACACACACACACGAGAAAAACAGAGTAATTAGTAAGATGATGGTAATGTGTATTTCAATGTGTAGGTGCCTGAGCAAAGTACACTGGAAAACAAAGTCAGACTTTTACACCTGTATGTAGAATTATCTTGAATTTAACAATAATAAAAGCTAGCTTATACAAATGTATCATGTCAGCAACTCAAATACCACAACACTATGTTGCTGTTACTAACATGACTTTTCTGAAATGGTGAAAATGGTGAACCGTTCTTCGGAGAATTGGGAACAAAATAGTGGTTGGATAGTATTTCTTCAGTGATACCATTGTTGCATTCCTAGGAAAATGTCCTTGTGTTAAAACAGTAGAAAAATACTTTGTGTTTATGTATAAAACAGTCTTAGACTCAGGCAATTTCTTTAGGCTTTACACCTCTGTGAGTGTCTAACAAGACACTCGAAAATTGTGTGGGGTGTAAGTCATCTTCATTATGTGGAACTCTGTTGTGAATTGTAGAGCATTCAGAATCTCTGGTCTCTGCCTAGATGTGCCAAGAGGGCCTTCCAACTACTGTGACAAGCAGAAATGCTCCAGGACTTCTGTATATTTGGAGGCTGTGTCACCTAATTGTGAATAACAGATGTGGAGTCTAGAATGATGAAGATAAAATTCTTAATCTTGGAAGAACTGAAAGAATTAGAAAATCACCATGTTGCAACTTCTACCAAAATAATGTGCCTACTCACAAATTGTCACTGGTTGCTAAAACCATTAGGTAAAGTTTGATGGGGGACTTTATAACAAATGGATCAGGTCCACAGCACCTGAACCCTTTGATTAATCTTAATACTAAAAGTAGGACAACCAGACATTAAGTGTCTTTTAAATATTATGCAATAGTAAGTTCACGACATTCTCCATCTGGATCTGACTGCCAATTTAAAAGTATGAAGGACAGAAGAATAAGTTAAACAGACACATGGGAACACACCAGCCAAAATCAGAACATGGAAAATTTTACAGGATAAATCGACCTTGCTTTTTCATCAAATAAGTATATAACATGGGGAGAAAAGAGAGAAGGAGGCTGTTATTAAAAGAGTCATATCAACTAAATACAGAGTTGGGCCTTGTTTAGATCTTGATTCAAGTATACTAATTCTAAAAATCATTTTTTAAATATTTGGGGAAATTTGAGTATGGACCAAGTGTTAGATAGCATTAGGAATTACTGCTAATTTTGTTAGGTAAAAGAATTAACTTCAGGTTCTGTTAAAAAGTAAAGTTGTCTTAATCTGTTAGAGATGTATTGAAGTATTTAATGGTGAAATGATATGTCTAGGATTTATTTTTTTTAATTTTAGCCCCCCAAAAGAGTAAGATGTTGTAGGCGGGGGTGGTGGTGGTGAGTGAAATAAGGATGGCAGACTATTGATAATTATGGAAGTTGGGTGGGAGGATAGACAGGAATTCATGATAACATACTATTTTTTTGATATGTTTAAACATTTCTTTAATAATGAATTTTTTATTAATGCCAATTCTTGATAAAATCTTCCAAAAAATAGGAGACAATACTTCCCAACTTCTTCTGTGAGGCTAGTATTATTCTGATATCAAAACCAAAGACATCACAAGAAAACTACCAACTAGCATCCCTTATGAATACAGATATAAAAACCCTCAAGAAAATAATCGCAAACCTAATCCAGCAACATATAGAAAAATTATATACCACCATGACCAAGTGAAATTTATTCCAGGAATGGTTGACTTAATATCTGAAAATAAATCAGTGTAATACACTGTATTAATAGAACAAAGGACAAAAGCTATGTGTCCATCTCAATAGACATAGAAATAGCATTTGGCAAAATCCAACACCCTTTCATGATAAAAGCATTGAACAGTAGAACCCAATCAAGAGCATCTACAAAAGCCCGCAGCTAACATCCTCCTTAATGAAGAAAGATGGAATGCTGTCCCCTTAAGATCAGGAGTGAGATAAGCATGTGTTTTTTTTGCCACTTTTATACAACATTTTACTTGAGATTCTAGACAGGGAAATCATTTAGGAAAATTTTTAAAAAATCTATCCAGATTAGAAAGTAAGACGTAAAAGTATCTCTTATTTGTAGATGGCAGAAGATCTTGTATATAGAAAATCCTAAGGAATCCTCTAAAAAACTTGGAACTAATAGACAAGTTCAGCAATATAGCAGGATACAAGATCAATAAACAAAAATTGACCAGACACAGTGGCTCATGCCTATAATCCCAGCACTCTGGGAGACCACATTCTACAAAAAAATTTAAAAATTAGTTGGGCTTGGTGGTGTGCACCTGTCGTCCCAGCTGCTCAGTAGACTGAGGTAGAAGAATTGCCTGAGCCTAGGAGGTCAAGGTTGTGGTGAGCCATGATCACTGCACTCCAGCTTGGGTGACAGAGTGAGACCCTGACTCTAAATAAATAAATAAACAAAAATCAATTGTATTTCTATATATTAGTACTGAATAATCTGAAAATGAAATTAATGAAATCCCATTTATAACTACCCAAAAAATAATATAATACTTAGGAATAAATTTAGCAAAAGAAGTGCAGGATTTTTAAACTAAAAACTACAAAACATTGTTGAAGAAACTGAAGAATATCTAAATAATGGAAAGTCATCTGTGTTCATGGCTAAGAAGACTTAATATTAGCCATACTCCCCCACTTGCTCTACATATTTGGGTTTTTTTTATTTTCCTGAAATTGGCAAGCTTAATCCTAAAATTCATACAGAAATGCAAGGAAACCAGAATGGCTATAGTAATCTCAAAAAACCCCACAAAACTTGGAGGACTTACAATTCCCATTTTCAAAACTTACTACAAAGCTTTGATCATCAGAACAATATGGTACTGCCATTAGGATAAACACATAGAGCAAAGAAATAGAATTAAGAGTCCAGAAATTAACCCATATATTCATAGGGAATTATTTCAGCAAGGGTACCAAGACAATTCAGTGGAAAAACCATAGTCTTTTCAACTGATGCTGAAACTGCTTGATATTGATATCCACATGCAAAAGAAGGAATTTAGTCCCCTTCCTTACACCATACATGAAAATGAACTCAAAATGAATTACAGATCAAAGTGTAAGAGCTTGAACCATAAAACTCTTAGGAAAAAAGTGAGGAATAAGTCTATATGACCTGGGCTTAGACTGTCGGTTTCTTAGGTAGAAAAAGCACAAGCAACAAGAAAAAATAAATAAATTAGACTTTGTCAAAATTAAAACCTTTTGTATGTCATACATAGGACAGTACCAAGGAAGTGAAAAGACAACCCACAGAATGGGAGAGGGTATTTGCAAATCATGTATCTGACAAGAGACTTGTATCAGAATATATAAAGAAATCTTACAACTCAGCAGTAAAAAGAGAACTCAGTTAAAATATTCAATGGATTTGAATAG